AATGTGGTCACCCTACACATTGAATTTACAAGAAAATAGTTAAGTATTGTTTTCTCAGAATCCAAAATATGTACATTGCTGAACTGTGCAGATATATTTAGCAGACGTTTCTGCTAAATGTTAGTCTCTCTGGCTTTAGATTCCGTTGAGATCTCAGGTGGCTACAGTCAAATATACATAACTAGAACGTCAGGATTGAGGAGCCAAAGAAAATGCGTTCATATACAAAATATACTCTGTTTTACTATTTTATTCCTATACTGCAAAAACAAACACAACACCTGCTAAATTATCAATATGCTAATATATTAATTGATCGCTCACATCCAAATAGAAATTCACCTCTTGTGTTTAGATTGAGGAGCCATATTAAAAGTATTGTATTTTCTTCAATTATAGCACTACAGAAGCCAAATTTTTATATGGTAATGTGCAAAATTACTACTAAATGATACAAAATTTTCATAAATATTCATCTATTACTTAACGAGTTCTAGGTGGCTCCTCAATTCAAACGTTTAGATTGAGGAGCCATGTTTGCATTAAAATAACTAGTGATATATTTTGCTGCTAAATCTAGAATTCGTGCTGCAAAATAAGCTAAACTGCTGCTAAATAATGGCGAGATCAGATTTAAAAAATGTGATGTGGCTCCTCAATCCTTACGGACATAAGTATACACCTATCTAGGTACGATTACGCCTGGGGCTCTTTGATCCAATTCAGATTGATCTTCATTGGTATTGCGGTACGTACAGTAAAACGGTGAATATGGGAAAATATTCTAACACTTGTCCATCTGTATCTATTCACCCCGTTTTACGGTATTTTTGAATTTGAACACTAGCGCCCAGTGCATCCGTATTGCGTGGGCATTTAATTAACTAAATGGTATGTTGGGCTATTATATAATTCTATAATATATGTATCGAGGCAATGCTGAAATGACGCTGCGTTTGACAGCGCGCCCGCCGCGCGCTCGTCGCGAGAGCGCGCGGCGGTCGCGTTGCTAGTCGCGGCGGGCTAGCGACTATGTAATGACGTTTTGCGCGCTCGTTGCCACTCGTCGCATCGCGGCGATAATATCGCCGTATGGAGATGGTTCCATAGAGAGTGTATAGAAAAACGTGGCACGGCGATAATATCGCCGCGATTCTCTCGCTCGTGGAGACAGCCCCTAGGGTTTGAGCGGCGAAAAAGGTAACCGCATCGTGCGCATAGGAAATTAGGCCTCTACCTCAAATTTTACGGGTAGCGGAATTGAGTGTCGGAGTGGGATTAGGCTGCGTTTCCACTGATGCGAAGCAGGGCGGAGAGGCGCTTAGCGGTGCAAGAATTGACCAATCCCTATGGTCGAAATCTCTGCTCCGCTTCAATGGAAATAGCATGAGCGGGGTGGGGCAGAGTTGATTATAATAATAAATAATAAAATTTATTTTCAAACATAATAGTCTAGAAATGTACAGTTTTGCTTAAAGTTAAATTACAATTTCACAAGTAGCAGGCTTAAGAGGTATGGCTTTTCTGAAAACGCGAAAGACAGCACATAATATGCCAAACACATTTTCTACTATCCTTCTTGATCTGGAAAGACGGTACATAGTTGTAAATGCGCTTTATAGTTCCACGATTGTGAATACCGGGATAAGGCTTCATAATATTTTCGGATAAGGCAAATGCGCTGTCCTCTACTATTACATAAGGTAGATTCGGACCATTTGGTAAAATTGGTTGTGGCTGTGGAATATTCAAATTGTTTTGAGTAATTGCATCGTAAAATGGAGTTTCTTGAAATACTCCACTGTCGGAAGATCTGCCTTTAGCACCACAATTCGCATATATAAAGTTGTAATCTGCATCAACTATTGTCAGTAGTACAATGCTGAATTGTTCTTTATAGTTGAAAAAATCACTGCCAGAGTTAAATGGTGCTTCAATAACAATATGTTTTCCATCAATGGAGCCGATACAATGCGGGAAATT